GACAATTTTGATGCTGTAGCTACCGCTGCCGCTGTTTGTTCCGATAAGAAAAACAGACAAATTATGCAAAGTAACACTATTCTAATGCATTCTTCATTGACAGCTGAAGTTCGTTTAAGCACATTAGTAAACTCTAGTCCCGGCCTTATAAACTAGCATGGCCTAGTATCTATTGCTTTTTGGATGTCTAGGCCAACTGGTACCATCCAGCTGTGTGCTTGCCTGCAAGGAAAAGTTAGTCCCTCTAGTACATCTACGTTTTCATAAAATATATTATGTTATCACAAGTGATGCATCGTTAGTTGGGCTGCAATGATGATTTCTATTATATGTTAAAGGTACTCTACACACTTTCCAACGCTCTGGTCAGCTATATACCTCGCCAAACGCATTCGCGACTCCATTCGCTCGTCTGGACCTTCTACAGCTGGTAGTACAGATTAAACTCATCTGTCTATGACGAAAGTGTGCTACAAGTGCGGCTTGTTGGCTACAGCTTCATAAATTGCACATTCGAGTACATCACTCGCATTTCCAATTGGCCTGGAGTCAATTCACAGGAAGCCAGTTCTTACTCATATCAGTATTTGGATTGAACTTACATAACACGGTCCATGTAAAGTGACAGTTCTGATTGACAAAATCCTCAGACTCCAGGTTCTGATGGAAAGCCTTAAGCGTGGCACTGCGTTCCTGTTTTTCGGATCCTGACATCTAGTCACCTCCTCACTGGTCTTCAAGACTCCAATCTAATATACTGCTCTCTCATATACTGCTTTCGCTAAACGCTTCCTTGCCTGATATCTTTATCGATCTTTGATTATTTCCGCAGCTCTGTGACCTTAGAGGTATAAGAACCTGATGACCGCTAAGCGTTCATTTTTGAGACAAAAATGTTTTTTCTTCTGTCTCATTTTTCCTGAAATAAACTGGTAGGAGACTGGAGTACCCATTGAGCATATGTATGCGTGAATTTTCATTCCTAATCTGCCTATCGCTTTGTAAAGCAAAGCTTTTTGTTCGAGATAACGTTATGTAATCACAATCTGCTATCCATACATAGCCTAAGCCTGTATTTTATTGCTTCCGCTTGCAAGCAACAAACGAATGCAGCGACGAACTAATGAAACGCATCCGCAACCTTGCCGCTTATTCACTCTGGTATATGGGTCTAATTTAATATTTTCCTATTGACCCCAAACTGCGTCCGATGACGCGAGTCAATTGCCTTGCGCTATATTGCACGCTGCATACGATATGCTGCCCATATGACGCCGGCCTTAGCGGGTCGAGACAGGACAAGAGGCTGTGTGACAATGCTATTTGATCTATTGCCGTAGCTTGAGCATTACGTACAGACGAGGCGCGAGAGAAATGAGCTGGCAACTGGCGTCGGGTAAGAACACTCGATCGATTACACGTACGTGCACCACGTGAGGAGAGGCAGTTTGTCGTTGTCGGATAAGACAGCCCGAACAGTACGTAACGACTGGCCGCCGGCGTCTGTGGTCTAGATGTCACAGTGGGTCAGAAAGCTAGCAGCATAGCTAATGGCGGGATAGCGGACGTCGCATATGCACAGCAAGCTTTCATATAATACTCTAGAAGCAGTTATGGTGATGATGCGATTCCTACTCCATTAGATAGGATAGAAGAATACGAATTGAGTGGATGTTGAGCGATATGCTACAAAGATAGCAGACAGGTAGGCAATGGTTAGACAGCAAATAAAGGCTCATGCAATTTTTTCTACGCATATGTACACAACATCATAGGGATCACCATCATTATAATTGTCGTTATCCTCGCCATTGTCCTATTCTGTCCTTAGCCCTACGACAGATGTCCTTTTTTGAACACGTGTCCACTATACCGTTACGTACGTTTAACGAATAACTGACAGGCCAGGTGTATCCGACATTCTAACTAGCTGTAATGTAAAAGGTGAAAAAAGTTGATACCTTACGAAAAAATAGGTTTATTGATCCAAATCACATTTGAAATTTCTTTGTTAACTCTATTCATTTTTCTTTATTAGTAGCCATAGCGTACTCTGGAAGTATTGACTGCGATGCGCGGCGACCGTATCGATGAGTCGCGGATGGGCTTTCCCGAACAAAGTCGTACTGACGGCGAACGGTGTGTAGAACAGCCAGAGCAGTAGGGATAGGATGATCTCGTCGCATGACACGATTGCATTCACACGACTGACTGGTTCGAGCCGACAGGTCGTGCGGCCTCAAAGGTTACCGCACGGTTATGTTAGTTGGTTGACAGTCAATATGGCTGCCGCTGTCGCATTTATGCTTGTTTCCTTACCATGCTCGTGCGTAACTGCTGCGTGAATGTTCTCGTGGTGGTCCTCGGAACTAGTATTCAATTAGAGTCATGGGTGCAAAGGTTAAAGCTACAAAAACGAATGATGATGGTCTATCGACACGCAACTGGACAGAGACCCTGTGCCTGTTTGCTTGTCTAACTCAAATAGACTTAGTCGGATCGGACTGAGCTTTAGCGTATCCCTAGAATATCATCTGGAATAATGCTCCGCTTAAAATACAACGAATTGGGAAAGCACTTTTTCCCGAATGGAGTATAGTTTTAAACTGTTGGAGCATAACGCTGATTTGGGCAAATTGGTTGTTTTTTTTCGCCACGTTTGAATTTTTTTGCGTGTTTTTATAGAGCTCCCATATAGATATATAGAAGAAGGTTGTGACGGTTGAGGCAGGCTAGGGGGAAAATTTTTTGCTACTAACAATAACAGCCGAATGTTTACATAAGGATTTCTGTAGGGAGGGTCATTTTTGAGAGCTGAATACCTTTGTCGAGGTGCATTAGAGTACTTTACACGTTTCTATATCAAAATTTCAATTTTAAAGTTGGAAATGCTCCCTGAAGAGCGCAAACAACATGGCCTTATCTGGAAATGAGGTTCTCTTGACGTCAATTCTTGAATTTCGACCAACAGGGTAAAAATGCAATGGATGTCCCTATACCTAAAATTACTACTTCGGAGTCAAAATGGTCAAAAAGCGATAGAGAGATTCGTCTAGCCCACATGACAGTGAAGTGAAGATGAGCTTCAAGCTATTTTGAGTTTATGATAAGCTTATACAGGAAAACTGAAGTGTCTTTTCTGACGAACGTTTTAGTAGAACAGTATTTTTCGAACATATTCTCAAGGAGATTTGCAAGAAATATCAAAATATCGAAACACTTTTTTATACCAAATGACGGTAATATTAGGGAAAGGTTGTGGTCTGGGTTTGAACCCATATAGCATAGACAGATGATTCGTTTCGAAGTGACTGCGAGCCAGCCAGCCGTTCGTCTGATAGAATGCCTAACGGCGATACTGGACGTAAAACTCGAAACACAGGTCTTCACATTGATAGATCGGTCTCAATAATCTGAGTAGTAAAAAATACGTGTTCCCAAATATTGGATATTTCGGCGTAAGAAAGGTAAAAAATTCGCTTAATAAGCACTGAAACGAGAATTTTTCACATGGGAGTCTAAAGAAAGAGGTGTTTCTTGGTGCCAACTGAAAACTCGCGATAAGTCGAATCCAAACGCAATATAAGTTCATATATTTAGGTCTCAAGTTCTGGATTCAAAACGTGGTTTGACGAGTAACTTAAACAGTGCTCTGCGCTACCAATCTATAAATTGCAACAAACTGAATAAAAATGCTATGCATATACCTATACTCAGAATAAATGTTTTTGAGTGAACCTTTAGATATCATTCGGAAACTCGAGAAAGGAAATATAGAGTTGATTCTAATTTATTTTCGAAGTGCTCTTGTTAAAATGTACGAAAACATAACGTTAAGATAAAAGCAAATCCAATTGGTGATATCCCAGAAACGGGGTCAGTATACCAACCGAGGTATTAAATATTTGCCTTCATTCAGTATACGTACCTACTTATTAAAAGAAATATTTCAAAAATCTTTAAACCTTGTTGACCTCCCAGAAATGGAGTCAATACAAAATAAATAATACTTGAAACGTAGGCAATTGAAACAACATATTCAGTAGAATATTGAGCCATTTTTTTATAGGAATAGATACACAAAGAAACAAGTTAATGACGTCTCAGAAAGAGACACGTTTGTCAATTGCGACGTGTATCAAAAATCGACCGAAGGCCAATTCGAACCACGTGCTATTGATTAACCAGCTAACAGTCATATCCATAATTACTTTGTAGAAATGCACCGCAAGCCGGTACATCACGAGCGAAACAAGCCCAGAGTCGACTGAGTACCCTGGGAAACACCTAAGAACAGGCTATAGAAATAGCTGGTCTTGTAGTTAACTGAAAAGCTTGACCACATATCGGAGTGGGGTTCTTGTGGACCCCTGATAGTCGTATATAATTAATATGATAGTATTTACAATCTAAAATCATCACCGAGTTTCTTTGTGATCAAAAGCCGTAAACGAGCGTCTAGGTTTCAATTTAAAAAAATAGTCCCACACGTTTCGTAGGAGCAAACATTTTTCCCACGTCTACGCATGGCTTCATAGATGCCCGTTTTTATTCCATTAATGTAAATCTTTGTATAGAAGCATTTTTATACGATTCCCTGTTCCTAATAAAAATTAATTATGTCTGTTATTTTCGCTGTTTGCGTTTATTTTTGCAGTTGGGCGAAAGCGAGATTCGGTGACAGCAGCGATAACATATTACGTGCTTACGTGCGCCGTGGTGGCGGTGGATCAATTTTTTTTTCCATTGTAGTTACCTCGAGAGCGAGGTGATCGCGTGCGATGCTTTGACCTTTTGCCGATTCCTCGCACTCTTTGCGTGGCGTTGTCGTCGGAGTTGTGAACAGTCTGAAGGAGACGAAAAAGGAGCGATAGAGGACGGTATTTCTGCTGCGCCCCCTAGGGGTGGCGGTGTGGCGTTATTGATCAACGTTGACCAATCAGGCCTTCGGCCATCTACTACCGGGTAATGACCACAACTGTTATCACTGACTACTTGATTTTAATTAGAATTACAAGAAATCGATGATTGGCTTCCTGCTCCCCTTTTTAACCCTTTTTCCATCTAATTGAAACGAAAAGATTCAATGTCGACAAAAAATAACAGCAAACAATCCTGGTGAGCGAACTTTGTGCCTTATTGTGACGTAATTATTAGTCTTTGTTAACCATTTTTAGACAAACGGAAAAGTCTCAATTCAATAAGGATGACGATATATTGGTTTGGTACGACTAGAAAATACCATTGCTTAATACCAGCCATGTCGAACGTAACGTCTTTTTGAATATGAAAATCGCATTTAGTGGCGTGGCAGCTCATGCTCGTCGAAGATACAAAGTCCGAGGGGAACTTTTTGGAGCTATAAAAAGATGATTGAAGACGATACCTAAGACGAGGGAACACCGATGAAATTAGCGACCCCTCGAAAAGTCAGACTCAGCGTAATTTATTCATGGGAACCGTTCGATGTAATAGCTAACGAAACCGCGCATGAAGGAAAGCAGTGGTAGCATTCACGAGGTAAAGGGAACGAACTATTTGACAATATCTGCTTTTTCAAATGTAAATTACGTTACGTAATAATAAAATTAGGTTTGCGCCTTAAATCTATCAGTGTAGTGTATGCTAGGGTTGATCCCGTCGCAGTCAAAGGAAATCTTACAGCCACTCGGCTTGCATAGTCCGCAGGTGTAAACTATTGTAATTTAACGCAGCTTTTTTTTCGCATTGGCATTCGTGTTTCTTTATCGCTTTATCTGTCTGTCTGTTTGTCTGTCTATTATTGTTATCAGGAGTGCGCAGAACACAAAAAATGGCCGAATTTCTACGTCAAAAGGACCTCGAACAGACTTCCTCACAACTTACTTGTCCAGGCCCTGCGATCTGCTTTCTAGTTTTCTATGGTTCCGCTGCGATTCTGCGCCGACAAGCCCTTCACACCACCCGCTAGCCTCTGAATCTTCTCCGCCTACATTCACCCGAGAGCGAGAAGGAAAACGAAGTGAGCCCCTAAATTCGATTTCGAAGAGAGCGTGCTTTCTTCCATCCTGAGACTCTGGCTCGACGCTGGAGCGCGAAAGAGCTCGCGCCACTGTAATGGCCTCAGAAATTTGGCGAGCAATATCTCTCACAGTGGGGCTAGGTAGCTGTCTCAGCGCAGACAGGTAGATGTCAACATGCAAAAATCGACCAGACTTTAGGTTAGAGGTTAGGTTACGGCACTGTGCTATGCTTTTACGCACGTAAATCTTACGGTTGATTAGCGCCGTATCTCGAATATACGTTACTGTTGGTATCTTTTTCTCGATCGTTGTGCTTGAGTTTTTTGTTGCGTTAATAAGAAAAAAAAAGAACGTTAATGACATATGTGCATGTCGTGTTACTGGAGAACGCGCAGGTCCAGGAAAGAGGTATCGTCAAAATCTATTTTCGCAGTGCTTCACCGGGACGTATATTAAAGTATAAGAGTTACATGGCAGGCGAAGTTTTCGATGACATCGACTTTTTTCGCTTCTTGCTAGATCGTTTTTTGCTAACTTGCTTCGGGCGTAGGCGTTCTGTATGGACTCGAACGTCAGTGAGAGCAGACTGTGCCCAGTTTTGCTGCGGCGTAGCTCGGTTGAATTAACGATCCATTAATCTGTAGGGCACATGTGTAGAACATGGATTAGTTTATCCCATGATCGTACTAATACTAGTAATAGTGCGTAGTTTTAGTGTTCTTTTCTATATGGTGTATATGCTGGGTGAGAAAATACGACTGCCGTTACAATATAGTTCGTAAGCTCATTAACAGATTCTATCACTATTTTGAGTGTATTCCACAAATCCAGTGTCTGTAAAGTGGGGGGGTCGCACTATGCCGACTTTGTTCCCGAAAATTCACCCGGTCACACATCGAGGTCAATTGTCCCATATGTAACCACGTGTGCATTCATCCATGTGGTGAAAAAACATCTAGTCAAATAGGCTTGTGATGTGGTCTAGTGCGCAAATTATGTAACCCCTAAGTACATTTTCTATCTGCATTTATGAACGTTTCATCAATCGGTCAAACACGACAGCCAGGAGGCCGATAGCTCAATTGTGGCTCCGAAAATGGTGAAAACATTTCACGAATATCTGGCGCATTGCCACAGAACATATTCATGCATCCACTGCCGAGCACACCTCGCCAGCCATGAGGAATTAATCTCAAAGTCCTTCCAGGTAAGCGGGCAATTACCTTATCATTACGTTGTACTCTAAGCTAACGACCAGTAGAACATCGATAATAGCAATATGTAATTAAGCATAGTGGAACGCAATGTGTAGTTATGTGTTGCATCGCCCGCAATCATGTTGAGTTAATATGGTTGTTCACTGGTAGATTTGTCTGTTCGTTCTGTCCATTGTTGCTAATACCCTGCGCCGCTGCAGGGAAGCCAAGGTCGGGCCTATTTATTCAACTCTGTAGTGAACATCGGTTGTGGACCTGCGGAGGAGCGGTTCCTCTTGACGGGTCTGCACGCCGTTGCTGATATCCACTGTGAATCCTGTAAGACCACGCTCGGCTGGAAATACGTAAGTAAACAGCGCAAAATTTTCTGCACATAAATTCAGTAGATTTTGCCGCTAGGTAAGCTAATGGAGCATTAATTAATCGTCTCTGACGATTACATGTCACACACTCATATTGGGTACTAGATTGCTTCTGTTCCCAGTAGTTCTCACTTAATGAGTTTGTTCCTTGTGTTTCTGTTCTCCGCCGCCGCCGCCGCCGCCGCCGCCGCTGGCGCCGTGTCGCTGTTGTTGTTGTTGTTGTCGTTGTCTGTGCGGCTGCTCTACTTCAGGAGCATGCATTCGAGACATCGCAAAAGTACAAGGAAGGCAAGTACATTATTGAATTAGCTCATATGATCAAGGAAAATGGCTGGGGTGCGAATGAAGAATGACCCGGGCTGGGCGTGCGAGCCCGTGGAAGGTCGTGTCCACCGCGCCTCACTACCGATTCACCGTCACCGGGTCCACCCTCAGGAACCCAGCAGCACTCCTCAGCGCCTGAGGATCTCTGCAGTCCATACTAAAAGTATGATTTATCCGCAGCTAAAATACAAACGGCTATTATTACCATGACGTTTAAAAAGTACTACACATGGCGACGGTGTCAGTGGAAAAAAATATTTTTATCGGACGTGACCACTTTGTTCCGGATCGCCTGGCCATCAATTCAGGATTTCAGAGGTAGAAACACTGGCAGTGAAAACACGCCGAAAGTCATTGCAGAAATGTGCGCTTTATCGATACCTACAAGCGATAAATATAGTGTCCTGGTGATTTTCGTCGTGACTTTTGTCAACAAGCGGTAAAAATGGCTCCCCGACTTGCCAACGGAAAATGCCATGAGACGAGAGTGAGAGAAACGATGTGCTAATTAGAACTCTTGTTATTAAGAGTCCTACCTCTTTTTTATGTGGGACCTGCATCGACATGGTGTAAGCAGCTGGGTCGCAGAGGCGAGGTCGACAAACAAATCTTCTGATGTTTCGTTGGTAAAGTTACTGTCGAGTAATTTGAATGATATTACGCACCAGGTTAGAAAAAAAAACATGAGGAATATGCCGTCAACGTGATAGAACCTCGGGAATGCGCCCACGTACACAACCTACCCCATAAAAACAGTTGACCTCATCAATCATTCAGAACTGTTCATGATATTATTACTACTACTAGCCAGGCTTGTATTCCAGGATCGTAATTGTAAAATTATCCTTTGACTATTAGTTCATCTATCGTCAAGGCCTTATATAAGGTGTCACTGTGTGTACCTTGTGTACGGTGTTGATGCTACAATATATCATATTGTTATCGTTGAGATTTGCTTCCTACAACGTAGATCGCACCAGACGATCGAACCAGAGTACAAGCCCTGCGCTAATCCTACACATTTAGTAGATACTGCGACTGAGGTCTATGCATACTTCAGTGCAAAGTCAAAACCTTTTACCCAAATCAGTATGTACCAAATCTTCGATTCCTGAGTTCTTTACTCCAGAAGCCTTTGCATCCTACATTTGTATCCGTTTTACCACATACTCCTATGATTAATTACACACCTAGACACAGACCCACTAACCTATTTTCTATCCCCACTCACAGCAACAAACAATAATTGAGCAAACTGTGATCATTTTGTATAGACGGAAACGAGGATTATGCCAGCGAGAGACACCAAACCTAATGGCGGTCAAAAAACTGGTTGAAGTACACAACGAGATTGTTGCTGAGTGAGTTGTCGTTTTATATTGGCTGAGCTAGACCAGCCATTGGTAGTTGCTGAAAGAAGTAACTCACGCAATTTTTCAAGTCGATCGCCATGTATGGGATTGTCACTCAGCATTGAAAGCCATCGCTGCGATGAAACGAACAGATGATGAACTAAATAACTTTAATCATTACAATGAAAAATATAGAAAGCTTTTGGTGAATGAACACAGCGAGCGCGGCAGAAGAATCTGACGATTATGAATCAGTGGCAGTTGTTGAAAGATCATAGCAATGCTGATTCTAATTGTTATGGTTACAATAATAATGGCCCAAGGATGAACAGGACATATTCGGCGTGCGATATGTCTAGCTGGAAACAACAGGACGGAACGAATATAGGACAAAACGCGCGAGAAATAGAAGCTAACAGGCTATGTATGCATGTCTGACAGGACAGCAGTACGTGAGCGAAAGGCCTGCTCACGCAGGTGATCATGGGCGATGATGGGGTGATTACTGAGTAGACTTCAACGATGAGGGACATATGAAACATGAGTGTTGGTCGCCATTTCTAGAGCACCAATACATATTCCACACCTGCTACAGCTTCTATTATACAATAACTATCAAATCTTGTGTAATATCAGACACCAACGATCGTGATAATTAATTGATGCAAAGAAGTAAACCTGTGCAGGCTTTGTAGACATTGAAAGCCTTATGATTCTTTGGCCACTCCGTCAAATTCAAGGGTTAAATGCAAGCATGAAGGTAATACAAATAACCAGCGAGTAGTCTGCCGGGACCGAACACAAAGAATTTTCACTACGAGGGACATCAAAATGAGGCGTGCCTTCGCGGAAGATGTGGCTAAATACTGAGACGATATTTAGGACACCATTTTGCTTGCTGTCTATTTAAGCGCGCCGCTTTGCAATGTCCAGGCAAATCATTTAGGGTTCGCAAGTGATCGCGGCCTGCGACGCTGGCCACTGGACCGAATAGATTACAAATGATATGCCGTTGTATTTCCGTGCATTTGACAAGCATCGACCGAGCCGAAAATATGGTGAAACTTTTTCAAAGGCGGGGGAAATTTCGTTTTAGGTAGTGTGTAAATGAGACTGAGGCACTGACGACGGGTCTGAAAACGATGGTGGACGGATTATTTTTCTTAGACTTCAGCTTGAATTAGTATGATTATTATTAGGTGCTGCATCGAATCGTTCCAATAGCGGAGCGACAGTCCCTGTCGCTCAAAATTAGTTTAACAAAGGTGCATGTTTTTTCGATTTTACAAAAGAAAAATATGTAGAGTAAGTGTCCTTTATGTAGATATAAAGATGCCGAATTCGCTGACGAAACTTACTTGCTAAAAATTCCGCCCAAAATTGATTAAGAAGTGCGCTCGCGGTAGTGAAATGCCTTCTGCTATATCTACTTTCAGTCTTTATCGTGTGCATTAATCGTTATGGCCATGTACTCTAATAATCATAATAATGATAAACTATGATTACTGCGATGACCCGGTCACGCCAAAAGTATTTTTCGAATCGGTTTGCTTGGGCTGGCAAACTTGCTTTTTCATCGTACGGTGCATATGCTACTGGCCCCCATTGGCCGAATCGACACTGGGTGTAACCCAAACCCGCGTTTTTCTTTGAGCAGGAAAAGGGCTCTTGCTTTTTTTCCTTTTTTTGGACTTGCATCCAGTAATAAATTTACGACGAGCTCCATTTCCATCCTTTTAATCAGTTTCTTCGAGCCCATAAAATGCTGCGTGCGTTGTAAGGGCAAGCGTTAATGTTCGATTGGTTAAGTCGCATGGTCCTATCTGAGCGTGACCCGTTATGGACATAAAAGCTAAGAGTACAGGTTATTATGGACATTACGTACCATAATCATATGGATTATCATATGAATGGAATGTGGAAGGCATAAATGAAACGACTCTTAATGCCACAATCATCGTAGTAACAGGATTATTACATATAGCCCTATCAACATAAGTACGTGTGTATGAGTGCACACATTGTTAGCATGACTATACGTAAGAACCATAGAAGTTATATACACATGGTTACATGCTAATAGTACATATATTATGCACTCTATGGGGTGTACCAGAGCCCGGTCCGGTATTGCTGTCACACAAACATAAGTGAAAACGTAGCACTTTAGGCCGGGTTCGATTTTTTCATACAGAGCTTTCCTAGTTTTAAGTGGAACACGACGACGGCTAAAAAGACGGAAGTTTATGAAAACCATGATAAACTGCTACTTAGGTGGAATTGGGTCTAATAAAGTAATCATCCATTACATAAATGTTTATCAGAACGATCTATAAATGCAATCCGCTGTTGTACCCCGAGCCACCCCATTTTTTAAACAGTTTTCGGACGTCTGAATGCCATTAGGGTGGTGGCTTTCCGCGTACCATAGAAGGCTTGCACTTGAATTTCGAAATGAAGGATGGTACACCCCATAAATATGTGAAGCTTCATATGCAACTGATAAATGATCTTAATGAGGATGAGAATATCGTGTGATAGGAAGTGATTTTTGACTGTAGTGAACTGAGAACAACGTATCGTTTTAAAGAGGCCGAAAAGAAGGAACTCTAATAGGTCGTGAACTCAGCTGATGTAATGATCTAATCTAATGGGAAATTGGGTCAAAATGCTTCGGTTCAATATTGTATGTAGAGCACAATTTAGTATTATTTATCTGCTGTTAACAAGACTGTTGTATACAACCGTTTTCGCCGTATTTTCTTTGAAAGATCAATAAATAGTGAAATCGATAAATGTTACATTTCAGTTTTTTGTTTTGCGACTGTACAAAAGCACAAAAGCAGTAATTTGACGGGTTGCCTTTTTTGCGTAAAAATTCGTTGTAACACACACGTTCGAAGAACTAAAGGCGAATAAGCGATCCGCAATATCGGCGAGTAAGCGATCCTATACGAGTCCGACAATTGCTCTGATAGACGTCAACTGATATACTGTATGGGGATTACAGCGCCGCACGTAGGCTAAGATATACACTTCCCTTCGTCAAAATTACACTACCTGTATTCAGTGAATGACCGGAAATAAAAGAGGTCGTTTGAAGTGCGATTCTTTCTATCGAAAAAATAAACGAGCATTGTTAACTCTAGTCATTCCTCAATAGAGCAGTGGCTGATCTCTGTAAAAACGTAAGTAATCTGCGTGGACGCGCTCGTTAGCACATTTTCACCCCCGTAACAATAGACTTAGTTGTCGGTAGTTTCTTGTGCTGTCGTGCATGTAGCAATCACAGAAAACAAGCGTACATTGCGCTTCTTCGTTAATAATAATAAAATTTGTCATCAGCATTAGTTGAAGGTCGCTCTCATATGACTCAGAAATTGAGGTTAACTGACAGATCACGGATCGGAGACTTACTAACGCCTTGTACCTATCATATACATACAACAACACAAAAAATGAAGCAGTTTTAGAAGATGGTATGCTGATAACATTTCTATTGACAATGATGCAGATGATGATAACAATTAAAAACGATTACAAAGAGCGATATTTTAAATTTTGTCTGTTGGTAAGTCTAAATATATCTATATATAAATAAATATATATATATATCGGAAGAGCGTCGTGTAGGGAAAGAGTGTA